TCCCCTCCGCCCAAGGAAAGCAGCAAGTCAAATCTAGTGCAACTGGGCAAAGCAAAGTGCACACTCTCCTCAAAGAAAATCCTACATCTTGATCCTACTCTAAGAACTTCCTCAGAAATGTTACTCAAATGGAGCCTTTTGATTTTCATTAACCCAATGCTACACACAGCACTTAACAAAAGCAGTTATCAGGGTGCCCTATTTACCAATCAAGTGGACTACATAGAGAGAGGACTCCGGTCCTGCAAGCTTGCACTGTCGTTCACATGCTCCAAACCTGATCCTAAATCACAGCAAGGAACTGAAATCACCAGGAGTGATTTCAGGAGTGACACAACTTCCCATAAAGGAAGGGCAACAACCTGGGATGCTTGGGGTGCCCTGCATCAGAAGGTCAAGGCCAGGACAGCCTTGCCAGCCCCACCTGCCAGAGGCTTGTTCCCTGCTCCATTTGCCAGGAGCCTGTCTTCATTTCCCTACACAGCTGGAAATTGTTCAGGGCTGGATGGAATTAGCACATGGGCATAGAGCTACCATATGTTCAGGGATCCCTAGACTCTGCCTGTTTTTCTGCTTGGAAATCGAATGCAGGTGGGATTTGAGGTCTTTGGGGCATCTGCTGTGGGCTCCTGGACAAATGACCACTGTGCACAAGTGGGCAAGGAACCGTGCCACTCCCTGGGAAATAAATCCCAGCCAGAAATATGGGAACCATGCACAAGTTGAACCATGCTGCTTTATCCTTCTTGAGAAAAGGGAAGGTAATAAACAGCAGACAGATTTTGGTTCAGCCTTGCGTTTTGTCCAAGTAACACAGCCCTGGGGACCTTTTTCTGCTATCAAACCTCACCTTGAGACACTAGAGATGTGCGTGGGCATTACTTGAAACCTAGAACAATGAAGTGTAGCAATTACTGATAATTTTAGCTCCAGCTCAGGCAGTAATGCAGTTTGCTAGCTCTGGGTTTCTATTCCAGCCTCAGCTAACAGGAGCAGTATGACTGAATCAGCCAAGGGCAGAAAAGCATCACTTCCAGCAGTGCTGCATGATCAAGGGGACCCTTGAGGGGTGAAAAAAGTCAAGAACACCCCCATCCCCACCCTGGCTCTCACTGCAACTGTGGCAAATTAGCTCCTCTGTCCTCATCTATGAAGTGGGGCTACTACTTACCCACCTCACAGAACAGCACAAACAAAGACAGCTCCAGAGTTTACAGCATCAAGAAATTAAACAGCAAAATAAGCGAGACTCAACAAGTGTCACTGATCTCTGACATCTGGAGCCTCCAGCCCACAGAGGCCATAGCAGCAGCAGCATTTAGTCTGACATCTGAATGGAACAGCTCAGCTTCCAATCACGGGGAATCTGCAGTTAAGGAGATGGGGAGCCTGGCTCTTCTGTGTGCCTGAGCAGCACCTACCAAGCCAATGGGTCCTAAGAAATAAATTATGTTCTACTGTAGGGTACATTTGTATTCATACACGCCTCATTTTTCCAAGGTGTAGTCAAGAGTATTATGTTACCTATGGTCAAAATGATTAGACGTGTTTCCAAAGATTAATTTAGTTTTTGTTGGTTTTTTTTTTTTCCTTAAATGCATACAAACTGATTTAATGGCTGCTTATGAACTGAGCTAACAGTCATTTTGAGAAACAGATGTCTGACGCAGTTTTGAGCATTAAGACTGCCTTTATTCATATCCATAGCAGAAAAATGGCTACACAGTCTACAGTAATAACACTAATGAATCAAAGTACTACAGCTACCCAAAAGGGCTTTGACAGAAACCAGCTTTTTTTCCTCAAAGGAACTTTTTTTAGGACTCTGGGACAGTGAACAACTGGTAATATGCATGCTTAACATGTAAGTACGTGCTTTGCTGGAGCCAGAACACTGAATCGAGCCCTATCTGCTACCAAACAATGTGAGGATTTTGCACAAGCACTGAAAACTGTAACAACACAGTGTTGGGGAAATGCATATGGATCTGGATCCCAACATTTCATACAAATAAATGTTCAAAAATGTGAGTGTTCTGATGCACTTAATGACACTGAATGTGGAATACATTGTCTACTCTAAACCCTGACAGATTATTGTGTGTGGGTGGTAGGGGCCAGAGAAAAGAAAGAGGAGATTGCTACTAGGAAAGCAGTCAGTGGCTGCAAATCTATGATAAATAAACAGCGAATTCCTCTTCTGCACAAAGCCATTAAAGTCTATGTCAGCCTTTAACATCCTAATGTCAGCTGAGTGCAAATTTGATGGCCAGGGCTCTGCAGTGCTCCCTATGGAAAGCAGATTTGGAACACTTTGCCATGCCCCAGTAGAGTGTTTCTGTCAAGTTCCTGAGGAGCCCCTAACGCACCAGTTATTCACAGGACCCTTGCAACAAACCATGGCTTTGATATTTTATGGTCTGGTGTGTACAGTGGAGGATATGATTACACACAAGCCTGGTTCTCATCAGCCAGCACCTCGTAATTGTTAACATATTTATCCTGGTGGTGCCTCAAGAAGATGACATTGTTATTAGTCTCATTTTATAGATTTAGAATTGAAGCTCAATAGCTAGATGACTTGTGAAGGGCAGAACTGAAGGCCAGCCCAAACAGGCCCAAAGCAAGGCACCTTGTGCAGACTCTTGTATAAGAAGGACTAGATCTGTGGGCAGTTGTCCACATCAGGTGCCCGTAGGTCTTACAAAATTATCTACATTGCGTTGTGCATCTTTCATGTCTCAGCCTTTGCTACTGCAGGAACCTACAGGGAATGTGGATGCAGATATACTATTACATGCAAAAACTGAATTCCTGTGCTACATCTCTCAACAGCAGTAGGAACTGAGAGATTTTGGACCATGCCCATGTACTAAGAGGCAGGCTGTCCAACCTTGCTCAAATGCTTAAGACGTGCTGAGAGAGAAAAGAAGAACTGAGAAAGGCTCACACTTAGTAAAAGCTTCCTGTGCTACTGTAGCTGTACCATACTGTCAATGCATCAAATTACATGAACTGGAAAGGAAGAAACACAGCACAAGTTGAAAAGGTTCCTTTCCAAACTCCTCTCAAAGTAGTGGGTAAGAATGGAGGAAGGAAATATGAAGACACACAGCTCTTTAAATTGAGGAGATTTCCTCCATCACTCAGATGATAACTATCACCAGTGACACTGGCAAAACACACAGTAGTCTGATAGCTCTTTTTTGTTAACTGCATTGCTATTATGAGGAAACAGGCTAGCTATCAGCTTCTTCAGCAGTAGCCACTGACCTCAGAGTAATGCATTGAACTTTTAGGAAACAAACACAGGGAACCAGCCTCTCCTACTGTTGGGGCTTCAAGGAAGGTGTGCGTGTAGCTGTGTGCTACAAAGTAAGACAACTTTGCTACAAAGGTTACTACTAAGGATATGAAGCTCTGAATTCGACCAGCCTTCCTCTGTCTCTGCACAGTTGAAAACTCAGTGTGCTCCACCTTAACATTTCAGCACCCTGCCTTGAGTGTATCTGTGCTTATCATACCTTGGATAACGTGCAGCCTTCTTATCTAAGCAATGACTGCCAGCCAGCATTGCAACTTACCCATCAGCTGCCACTCTGACCTGGTGAGCACCCAAGTGTTTCTGGTCTCCCCCAGCCATTGCAAACCTGGGAATGCAGAGCCCAGCATCTGTGAGAAATCCTGCACAGTACTTTTCAGCCTTCTAAGGCTGGCTGTGATGCTTGCAAATCAGATGGTGTCATTTTATTTCTTCAGCAGGGCCAATGGCACCAACCAATGGTCTAATGGGACCAACCCTCACACAAGGCAAAATATTCAGAATCTGAGTCAGGTCAGGATCTGGCTCCATATAATTACTATGTATAAAAAATAAGGTTATTCCTAAAGCAGTAATAAAGCCACCTGAGATTTTGCTTGTTTATTATTATTTTTTTTATAAGCACCAATATATCATCTCACTTATTAGTACACAGCATCAGCAGTTAACTTAATGCTTCCCCCAGAGTACTAGGCAAATCAGAAATACTCATACACAAACTAAATCAGACGTCACCCAGAAAATGAAACAAGAAAGGACATCAGGGTTCTATTCAAGGAATATTTTGAATTAGGAATGAAAACAGAATTGAAATAGAGCAGGATGCTGCCTAGCACTATAGTAAAGAACTGGTATCATTACTATCTTTTCTCTTGGAACACAGTGCTCGTAGGAGACTAGGAAACCAAAGGAAATACCGAAATGAGAGAGTGCAAAGATGCTTGCCTTTCTTCACCACTTAGATGAAAAAGTTACAATCGATGGAAAAGATTTAATTAGTAACTGAAATAAGCCTAAGATTGAAAGAAAGAAATCCGTAAGACTGAAATGCAGATACTGCAGATGGCTTGAAACCACAGGTAACTTCCTATAGACTTACTGAAGCCAAAATTTACAAATGAGGACACATCTACAGGCCCACCTTGTCCTACTTTACTCACCTGTTAGTCTACAGACTGTACGACACCAGGGTAACACGGGCATTGATTAATGCCAGCAGGTTCCTTCTCAGGCAAGATCAAAGATGATTTTAGAAAAAAATCAACATTTTAACCAAAAGGTTTCTAATCATGAACTCTGACACAAAATGCGCATGCAGAAACATCAGCAAACGCTCACCTGTGCCATCTAGCTCTTTGGATACCACAACACTGTATGACAAATTTTACAGGGCTCAGCCCAGCCTGATTACAAACACTGTACCCCATGAGCAACAAATCCTAAAGGACACTGTCTGTCACCCTGTGTTAGCAAGTTTGTGCAAAATTCCTCTCAAAATCTGCCCTCCTGTGCAGTAGCCTATTAACCCAACTTGAACAACTCTTCTTCCTCTGTCTTTGGGCTTTGTAAGCATTTGCTATTAGCTTTCCCTTCTTGCCAAGCCTTTTTCTCAGCCAGCTTTAACTTAGTTTTCCACTCTGTGCTCTTATACCCTCCCATCACTGAAGAATGCACTTACGGTGCTCGGTCATGGTTCAACCCATTCTGTCTTTGTGCATTTATTGGAGGTAGAACAGGTTTGCTGTTAATCTCCAGCCCTCTTCGCAAAGTCTCCCTGATTTGCTCTGTATCTGCAAAGAGAATTTTTTTAACATGACTCAGAATCCCCAGAAACATCACAAACACAAGGAGACAACAGCTTTTCTTAAAAGGCCTGTTTCTATGGTATGTTTCATCTAAATCCTTCAGGAAGAAATGAAGAGACACTAAGGGTGAATTCATAACAACACTTCCTGCACCGTAAGAGTTAACCACTTAACAAAGTAAGCTTGAATTCCCTGGGCTATAATGTTATGTCAGGCAAGAACTGGAACTGTTGGTACTATGCCCCCAATGCAGAAATTCTGAGTAGATTTGTATGCTTTCATAAAGGATGTGTTTGCTCTTCCTGCAGCTCTTGCAGAACCTCCTGACACATCCAGCCTTTGTGCTGGAAGTCACTTTTCCCATTAGGTATAATGGGAGCTTATTCCTTTACCAAACAAGTGCAAGGAGGTCCTGGAGTTTCTGCAATTGGCTTTGAAAATCTGTTATTAATTAACTACCAAATTCATAAACAGAAAAACCTTTTAGCGAATAAACTTCATCCTCAAGCTCACATCTGACAATAAACTGCAAATTACACAGTTCAGATGCAGCGTTCTTAATTTTCATTTTCCTACAACATCAAGTGGCCACATATTTTAAGGGGATGCTTTCTTAATTTGCTTAGAAGTTTCCCTCTTTTTTTTTTTAAATGAGTGACTAGAGAAGAAGACATTAAAATGATTTCAAAATCTCTCAAAGGACACAGCATGCAAATATCACCATTTATATCTGCCTTGGACTTTTCATTTGCAGGGCTGAGGGGTAATAGTCTAGTCTTTTTAGATCCAGTGTGGTTCAAAATATTTCCACAGAGGCCAGGCAGAACCCTATGTACGTATACATTTGCTTTTATTTTTTTTTTTAAATCACAGACTTAAAACAAATATGATATAAATTCCCATGGAAAACATCATTCCTTCCAAGAAATCTCAGACAGTCACATTTCATTACTTCACCCGTTTGAAAGTTAGTGTGGATACTTTCAAGCACGTTTAATGTTCACGACACCTGTACCCTAACGTGGCATCTCACTGCAAAGGGCAACTCTACCACATTCAATTTCTTCCTCCCAGAGTTCCATATCTGCAAGAATCACTCGAGTTCAGCTACACCAACATGCAACGTCAGTTCAGTGCACCACCCAACAAGTGGCAGTGTTAAAAAGGAAACACAACCTAGGAAAATGCAATTGCATCACCTTGCAGGTGTTTACAGTCCTGGTTTCACCCAGTGCTCAGTTTAACTTTGCAGATTTAGATGAGAAACAGCCTAAAACCTGAAAGATATCTTTAGAAAAAAACAAAGATCTCCTTCTCCCGCCCTTCTTAAAGAAGCCACTCCAAAATTTCGTTTTCTTCTGAGGCATATCACGCCTTCTAGCACGCGTGCTGCTTTCAAGGAACCCCGCGGCACTGCCCAGACTCACCAGTGCCCAAAGGGCCAAGGCAGCGCCGCAGCCCAGGACCTCTTACCTTTCCCAGAGAGCCGCCGCGGCTGGGTTCCGATGCAAATGCTCCTGCTGTCTTCATCATCCTCAGGGGGCCGGCTGAGATCATCCCAGGCACATTTGGCACTCACTCCACTTAGGTTTGAGCCATCTGTCTCAATCCCTTTGTCGACTCTCTCCTGCTTGAAAAGATCCAAAACCCCACAACTTTTTTGGACGTGGCTTGACCCTGAGCTGAAACCCAGCCTTCCATCCATGTTTTGATGTACCAGCTAAGTGTGCCTGCACGAGTCAAATCAGAAGCTGATCTGAACAGGAACAAACCAGGACAGGCTGGAATGAGCTTCTGTTCTTTCCTCACTGCTTCACTGCTTGGTGCTCACAGGCACAAGACAGAGGTGGAAATGAGAAACCTGAGGTACACAGGGCTGTTTCCTTCAATGTTAACTCCAGTTTACAACAACTCCAAGCTCTTACGTACTCCTACATGCAGCACAACTTGGCAGTCTACTTATCATATGCCATCAACAACAAACTCCTGAATAGCTATAACAAAGATCCCTTTCCAAGTCCCCAATGAAAAGTGCACAGAGTGATTTCTCAATCACAGAAGATCATCATTTGCAGACTGCTCATACAACCACTGCTTTTTAATGTGCTGGAACATTCAGCTGAGGACAAATTGGTAAGGAGACATTGGCCTGTATGCAAATGTCAGAAGTCTTGGCAAAATACTTTCCAAGCACGTAACCACTGTTTGGTGTCTCACACCAACAACAAGCAACTGGATGTTCTTAGACACCACACTTTTTTTTTTTTTTTTCCTCCAAGGACACCCACATCTGCTGCCAGCAAGACTGCACTCCAAGTTTCAGCCAGAGGACACCTACCTGCAATGGGAACTGCTGTTACTTTGATTTTCCACCTATTTCCCACAAGGGGGTAATGTTGAGCTGAACAAACTTAGGGCTGCTCAGAACACTAGTACCCTAACCCCAACCCTCTCCACTGGCACTGAACAAATCAGGCTCCTCTTTGAAGTTTGCAGGGATGTCACTCCTAGTTCCATTCAGTGATCTCCATTTCACTACACGTTTGGGTCAGCTCCAAATACGCGCTAAGTCCCACTGCTTGCAGGACAGAAACTCTTTAGATTTGAGGGCAGAGCAGAGCTGTGTCACACAACAGGAGCAGATCATTATTTCTGGCCTCTGCTGTGACCTTGCCACTGGAGTCAAGAGACCGTGGGAGCATTCAGTGCTTTGCAAAATCTGTTCCCCAAGAAGCAGTTTCCATACTAAAACCCACATACACTCCTCCCCTTGCCCAGCTCTATCTGCTGTACTCTATAAAGAGCTTTACTTGTTCTTGTGACCATTCAAGAGAGGATTTGAGAAGCTCAAAGATAAGCATAGTGCTTGGGGGTGTGGTTGTGTTGCAGCTCAAAATGATGGAATCCACCTGGCTGCTGTCCCACCCTCCTCCACGTCCCCCTGCCCCTTCCTGTCTGACAAGTGTGACTTCTTTAAAACTTGGTCACCTTCCTACACTGGCTCTCTGGCCCCAAAAGGGAGGCAGAAACTTGCAGCTCAGGATAAGACCACAGCTGTCCTGACTTAGATTTAAGCATTCAAGAGACTGCCTCCTTCTGCTTCTCTCCCCCAGAGAAGACTACTGCCTGGGACCTTCCTCTGGCATCACAGGAAAGCGGCTTCCTCAAAAAAGTAATAGGAAAATCTGACAAATAATTCATCTGCTGGGATTTTCTTTTGTTATATCCCAAACACAGAAATAGAAGTTGTGGAAAAACAAATACATCTGATGCTACATATGCTAACGAAGCTTTAAGTGAGATTTACCATGTGACTCTTTAGGGAGCTCTGTGACGACCCAAAGCAGTCAGCATGGGGAGGTTCAGCTTGTCAGCACAGTTGTTTTTCATTCCACTCATTGAGAAAGCATGGGAGAGCCACCAACTGGCCCCGAGCAGGGAGAGAAAGGGCCCTGAGGACTGCAGCCGGATGGAGAATCCATGGGACGTGCTGCTTCATCCCCACAGCTGGAGGCCCCACTCCAGGCACAGAGCCTTGAGGAGGGGAGAGGGGTGCAGCCCTTTGTCTGCGTCTCAGCTGGCTCCCAGAGCACTTCCTCAGGGAAAGAAGAGCTGCTCTATTGGCATCCCTAGGAGATCAAAGGGATCTGATGGAAACAAGCTGGCCTAAGGTAGCCTGATTTGCATGCTTGTGTTTGCAAACATAGATGTCCAAGGGAGGAAAAAAAAAAAAAAACCACCACCAAGAAAAACCAACCAATGTTCAGTTAGTTTTAGTAACTTCACCCCATCCTTAGCCAGTAAAGCTGTGCATGGGTGAGGGGCTGCTCCTCCTCCCAAGAAAGGGCAGCAAAGCAGAGCAGGAGGAGCCTAGGGCAAAGGAGGTTCAGCTTTTTCCTTCCTCAAAGAAAGGATGTTTCTGTCCCATTTTCCTCTCAGCATGTGGGAGGGATGCTCTGAGGCTCTTCTAAGTCATTGATCCTTTTCTAAATGAGCCAGAGCACTGCAGTGTGACCCACAGAGCAGCAACCGCAACTCAGGAAATTCAAATCAGCTTTATTCTCTTCTGAGATATCTGCTAAGACAGCACATCAGCACGGAGCTGGGGACCAACAGGGATGGTGTGACAGTGCTGCCAGGGAAATGCAAGCGGCCTACAGGAGAGCCTGACTACGCAGAGAACAGCCAGTGCTGCCACAGTGTTAATTGCTGACATCCTGGGATGACATCTTAGTTGGGATCCTTTCTCAGCAACTTCGAACAGAAAGTACAGCTTCTGTTGCCAGGGCTGGGGTTAGGCCTCAGCAGTTCCTACAAGAGACAATGCAGCCCCAAAACAATCACTACCCACTCCCTGGGCTGCCAATGTGCTTGCCTGTTCCAAGCAATCCAAGCATTTTCTCTCCCATTTCACATCCCTATCTCCCCCACCACCACTGAAAGTGCCAGGTGAATGAAAGACATGTTATTCTTTGCCCACTAATGCAGAGCAGGAGATGCACGGTGAGGGCTGACTGCAGCCCTACGCAGGTTTTAGGCTTCTTCAAGAGCCTAGCAGAAAGGAGAAGTGCACACACCTGCACCTATTGATCGTCAGAGGGGCAAGAGAGAACAGAAAACAGGAATGTTTTAGCGTGAGGAAGTCTGGAAAGACCACAGACACAGCAGCCGTTGGTGGCAGGACACACTGTGAGGCAGAAGCACTCTCCATGTGCCTTAACTTGTCTTGGCTGACTCACATTCCAGTAATCTGAGCTACTTCTCATTTACAGTAAATTGAAGAAACCCCTGTTATCGTCAGGAATCACCAGCGTTGTGGAGAACAGACAACACCCTCCAGGAGGGGAGAGGACACACAGGCAAAATTGTGAAAAGCCCAAAAACTTTATAGGACTTGCAGTTGTGTTCACTCCCACGCTGTGGGACGTTTATGGAACACTTTTTTCTCTCGGATTGGGGTTGTTATTTTAGACGAACAAATCCTTAGGAACAGTAAAAGTAGAATTTGGTTTCCTTCCTAAGCTTTCAAAATAAAAGATGCTGTGAGGCAATGGAAGGTAATCAGATGCAGACATGCAGACCAGAAGCAAACACAACAGTACGAAACGCACACACATGCACATGCCCTACCAGGCTAAGCCATAAGTTCTCAGTTAAAGGAACACTCAGCAATTCGCTGAAACAGGATCAGAACCACACTGGATTTGCCCAGGAATCCCATACTGCAGTATCACATCTCTGCTGAAGGGATGCAGAACTGCCTCCCAGACATACAAATGGAGGTAGGCCATGGGACAGTAACCCCTCTAGAAAGGTCTTATCCCAATCTTTTAACTTCAGAAATTAAACTGAGCTCTGATGGAGAGGGTTTAATATATCCTCCTGCACATATTACTAACAGCAGCAAGAAATACTTGCAGCTTGCCATTATTTCTCAGATCACACTATTTGGCCTCACGTGACATCCTACAGGAATGACCTACACTGTCACATTGGCTATGGGAAAAAAAATACTTAATTGATTTAAATTTTTCTGCATGTTATTTTTCCTTGTCCTTACATATAAAGCAAAGGAAGAAGATCCAGATCTGTCATTTCTAAATCAGGTACTGTTACATATTCTCTATAGCTTAAAACACACAGTCCAAATCTTACCAATTTGTCTTGTATATGACACTGTTTTCCAGCTGTACCTTCTCTAAGTGTTTTCCTAGAGCTGCCATACAGCTGGGGTGGGACATGCGCACTCTCAAAGTACTTCTGAGAGGGCAAAGGGAGTCTCTAGGACTGTTCTGAGATTACTACAGAAATTGAGATGTTCACAGAACTTTTTCAGGAAAAAAAAAAAAGCAGAACCATTTTGTACCACTAAGCCAGTCCCTTTTGGCTACTACAAAAGACATGATGTTTTATTAACTAAAGACATACTTGCAGATGTGGGTCAATTTCAAATATTGTTTCTCCTCTTCTCATGTCTGTGATCAGCCAGGGGCCTCCAGCTCTACAAAGAAAGAAAGGTAATGAACCACACAAGGACCTGTGCTAATAATGAAAACCCTCAGTGACCTGTTACCTGCCTAGCATTTGGCAAATCTTGCAATGCAGTTGAGTCTGACACAGGCTGCCCCTTGTGTAGATGCATTTACTCACATAAGACTGAACTGTGTTTTATAGGTAAGTGAAATGGGACTGAGAAGTCTGGTGCAGCCTAAGTACATGAAAGACGAGCATGGCATAGGGTCAAGATTTACACCTCTATTATGTATTTAAAGATGCAACGGGATCCCAATGGAACTTCGTTTTCTTTTTAAGAGATGAGCAATCATGTTCAGTACCACACAAAGCTTCTTGCTTGCTCTGATGAATATCTCACAACAGACATTTTGTCTGAATACTCGGATGTTTCAGGGAAATCTTTGTTTTTCGCTACCAATGAAAGTTGAAAGAGTCAAGATGTTTCCCAACAAAGGTGATAGAAGACAGATTACTGTGAAGATGAGCTACTCAGTGACTTTACTTTGGGTCACAGCACACACAGTCTGTAGAAATCAGCCTCAGATTGCACTTCTCGCTTGAAGTCTTTTGAAATCACCATAGAAATTTTCTTTTTTTTCATGAGACACTTTGTTACTGCAGTTAAAAGCCCCCTCCTCTGGCCCTGTCTGTGTTACAGTCTCCAAAAGCACTTGCAGTCAGACCAATAAAAGTTAATGTTTTATAGGTTTTTCAGATGCATCAGTATCTACTCTTTTTCACATCACTTTCGAAGCTGTTAACTGCAGAAGTGCCATCTGCTTCAGTTCCTCCCTGGGATGCAAGTCTTTCACCCTGACTCCATATGAGCAGCTTTCAGCTTTGTCTTTGAACCTGGCACATCTCTGGATTTCATTTTATCCTTGGAAAGGTGCTTACAGTACAGCTCAAAAGCAAAAAAAAAAAAAAAAAACAAACAATATGAGAACAGACTGGGGAGAAGTGTGCTATGTCTATATTGACATAGGAGTTAAGGGACCTATGGACTGTTCATTGCTTCAGGGCCCCAGAAACAAAGTTTGCAGCTGGACAAATTCACTTGAGTGTTTACACAAATTACCAGCATTTATACCTAAATGGGAGAGTTCAAGTTTAAGAAATCCAGCAGCAAAGGCTGGACTCCTCCAAATCACCAATTACAACCCCTTGTGGCAGCCCACTGAGACTACAGATATACAAAATTCATTTTCTCTAAAATCTTCTGAGGTACTATCACAGTGCAATAGTCTCCTCAAAATATACAGAAAAACATTTAACCCACACATTTGCAAGTCAAAAAAGTTTGTCTGCAACCTGACAGCAAATAAAGTATCCACATACGTTTAAAATTTAAAAATCTGTCTCCTCAACATAATGCTATCTTTGTTTTGCAAGGGGAGATAGTGAAGTTCATTCTGTTACATCAAATACTCCTCCTTCTGCAAATTGGTCTGACAAGTGGGGCCTCTTGGAGATTGATTTCCTTACTTTCAGACAGCACCCAAGCTTTCCTAGGCATGGTAAAGCAGATCCTCACTTTCCTCTCTTTAGAACTATGGAGAGGTCACCAGTCAGAGCAGCCCTGACTCTTTCAGGGAGAACCAATGAGAACATGCTGCAGGCATAAGAGGAAGGAAATTAAGCTTTCAAGAGCTCATTCATTTCCACCCTGAACACGTGGACTTCCACATGCATTAATTTGCCATCTAAATGTCTGTGCGTGAGAACAGATTTGCAATGAATTCCCATCTCTGGCTGCAGCAAAGGCTCCATCAACAAGTTAAAGATTGTTAATAAAAACAAACAACTGAATTGTTCTCTGTCAAAATACTCCTCTGACTAAGAGCTATATGAGCACTTACACTGGGACAGTCCGAAGCAGCTCCAAGATCCCTTGCCCGTTCCATTGCTGAGCTGCATGCAGCTCCTCAGTGCAAACCCCAACAATCTGAAATAAATAAAAACAGAGATACTAAACCGGATGGAAACTGTGAGAACTGTAGGGAACATGGGCCACATGCTGCTGGATCAAACTGTAGATACAGAGAAGCATCATCCCTTTCAACTAAGTAGATAAGCGAGGACAAATGGAGCCTAAAACAACAGGGAGATTCTGCCCGCTCTCAATAAGCCATGTGAAGTGCCCTGGCACGTAACATTTAATCTTGCTCAAAGTGTGTGAACTTAAATAAGAGGAGGGCCTGATGAAGAATTAGTTACTGAAGATCCACTGGTCTGTTCTCACACCCCAAACCAGTCCACATAAGACAGACCAAGCTGGGACAGGTCAGGGTCTAAGCACATGGCAAACACAGTGCTGCTGGCCAGTCGCTAGGAGCAACTGTGATAACAAACCAGCAGCTTCCATCAGGTAAAAGATACACTGCCACAAAGGAACGCTTTGGTGCTCATAAATTCTTGACCAACTCTGTTTGCTGACTGGTTTAATCTTACCCACCACCATGAAGTAAGGTTCCTAACACATGGCATAATCCACTCTTCAGTGCATACAACCAGACTTCTGCCTTCCTGTGCAAGGCAAGATGCGTTTGCTTTTCAGCTTGGGATCTGCCTCACTGAGCAATACCAGACATCCTTCTCATAGCAGCTGAGATCAGATACTTCAAATGAAGGCAACCAGTGGCTGTTTTTTTTTTCCCCCTGATCCATCAGCTTGTGCCTTGGAGCCCAATGATTGATTCATCCCCGAGACAAAAAAAGACTTTAGACACAGACTTCTATTTTCTCTCTCAAGACACTAAACTTTTTCCAATGACATCAAATTTTCAGTCAGAATCTGTTCAGCTGGTGTACTGTCACAGAAGAAGAAAACTAAGTTCTGTAGAGAAGTAACCAAAAGTATCATGGCATGCCTTTACCACAAACATGTGCACTGATAGAAATCTGGGTGGAAAACCATCCACGTCAGCATGCACCCACTTCTGCACACCTTAACTCCTCTGCTCCTCTCAATCTTTCAGGACCTAGCCTTGAGAATGCATTCCATCCCCACCCATGTTCCTCCATGCACAGCCTGAATCACCCTCAATTCAGCACTCTCCTCCCTGAGCCTTTACTCACTAACTGCACACAAACTGTGAGACTCTAAACAGGAAATTATTTCATGTTTGTTCTTTGCTTTTTGCAACCATTCATCCTCATTGGTCAAAATAAATCCTTAACAATGAGCATCAAACAAACAAAGGGGAAATTAAGACAACTGTTTGTACTGTGAGAGATTAGAGTCCAAAAGTCTCAGGATGCAACAAGCTGGCTGCTCTTTGATCCCAAGCAGCTGGATACTAAAGAAAGGATGAGAACTAATGCAGCACTAACTGGGGAGTCAGCCAGGAATCACCCTGCTTAGCTCGACTCTCTTTTTGCTTCCACATCCCACAATTCACTTTTTACTTATTAACCCCACCTCTCATCTCTTTCCTGTTGGTAAAACACAGACTTTTGGGGAGAAGAGAAGGCTAGAAGGCTCAGGAAAATCTTTGCCCCTGCACAGCAGTTGCCTTGTGCAGGTCTATGATGTTGGAGCTTCCCCTTATGTGTTGCAACTACAGCCAAGGACTAATAAAAGCAACACAAAACTTAAAACTCCAAAATAAAAGGTGTTCACCCATGTGGCAGGAGCTTTTCTAAAGAGCATGGGGAATTATGTTAGTTCTGTCAATATGATTAGTAACTGCATATGTAGTTTAAAAGTATTTGAAGCAGCCCTTATCCAAGGGACTTAAGAAAATGGAGTCTCTGATAGCAAGCAAATCTGTTTAGCTAAAGAAGCTCTGCTCATTGAAGAGTAAGGTTAACATACAAGGGATGCTTCTTTCACAAAACAACCTACCTTAGATGGTAGATCAGCGCAGGTAAAGTCAAAGAGGCTCTAAAGAATCTTTACGTGGCAAGCAATGTTTCGTTTGCTATATAATACTAATGCAACACTGAGTCCTACTGCAAACATCTCTTCTCCTAGAAATGAAATCAATGGAGAATCCCCCACTAACATTGCCATAGCATTAATTTGAAGTTAGTTCTACATTAAAATAGCAACATCAGGCATTTTTCTCTCTGCTTTTTTATCTTTTATTTATGTTTGAAATTTCAAAGCAGTAAGGTAATACTCAGCTCCAGGTCTGTTTGGGGGTGTACACCTTCTCTGTGTGAGGTAGGCTTCTACATTGAGAATTGAATGTGCCATTGCTCAATCCCAGTAAAATCCTTACTGAATATCCCCAGAATAACAACTCAAAGATGAGATCCATAATAATCAAGACAGAAAGGACAAAGACAGGGGAATAAGCACCTTACTTATGAGAGCTGAATAAAATGTAGAGCTAAGTGCATCCCATGCCTGAGAGATGCTAGAGCTGTCACCTCTGCTGTGCCATACCTGTAGGAAAGTAACAACTCCAAAAGGAGTCTGCACAGGCTGCATCTGAGGGTCTTCTGTCAGCAACATATGCTGGATTCTGGACTCACTGTTGTCCAAAGGGCTGTGCCACGACACATGGTCACCACTGCAGAAGGTGTTTTCTACAAGGAAGACAAACAAGAAATATTTAGACCAGAAAATATGCCAGAAGAATGCTTCTGTTAGCATCTATCTGCTCCTGATCACTGTCAAATGGAACCTCTGGTCAGGACCAGCACAGCCCTGTTGCTGCTCATAGTGCACAATCCTGAGTTAATCCTGTGGCAAAAAAAAAGAAAAAAAAAAAAAGAAAAAAGGTTAGCTATTAGTACCATCGAGTTAGATTAGTCCCTTTCTAATTTACTGTTAGTCTCATTTTGTGAGAGGGCACAGTTAGCCTGTGGGCCAAATGCCATGACTATATGACAATTTATTCTTGATTTGCCACAAAAAAGAGATTCTGAAATGTAAATTAGACTTAAATAATACTTTACTCTAATAAAAATCTCCAGTCTGCTACCCAACTTGTGACATTCTATGTCAGTCACTTTCTCTTCCAATTGTCTGCTGGCTCTGGTGAAGAATTATAATATGTTCCTTCTTCCTCAAACAATAAGAAAACCAGTTGGCTATAAATTTCATTTTAAGTCAGAACGGCCTCCATCTAAACAAAGAGATAGAAATTATTCTTCCTTCTTCACAACTGTAAGAATTCCATTCTCTTCCTTCTCCTCAGAAAGACAAACCGTCCCCAGACAACCCTGCATCCCAACTGCAAAGACTGTGTAGAGCAGAAACTCTACACATAGCACTGCCCCCAACCCAATACTTGCTCTGTGGATGAACTAGAAGTAAAGCAACCATTTTCACTCTGGTTGCAGCACAGCGCGTCTGAAAAGTCACCCCAGTGATGAGCTAACCCACACCTACACCACTGGGGGTTGAAACCACAGCATCTTGGGCAACTCACGGTTCCTCCACCAGGTGTCCCCATCGGCGTTGGTTTGAACACTTACTATACATGGGTTTTCAGACAAATTTCTCTGACAGCTCAGTAGATTAAGGAAGAATTAAAATAACTCCAAATTCCATAAGAAGCTTGGCCCCAAAAACGAGGAATGGGACAGAAGTGTTGCGATAAGTAAGGGAACGTTTCCCTTCGTTACAACTAAGAACGAACAGAAACACGTCAAACGGAGCTGCTCAAAGAAGAAAAGTTGATCTGTACGCACAATGAATTACACACTTCCAGCAGTGTGACTGAGAGGAACGGCTCGTAGTGTTACTTTGCTTTCAGAGTTGGGACATACAATGAAAGAGACAAATGAAAAATATGATTTTAAAGTTTTCTTATATCAAAATGGGATTAAACAAATAGACAAAACAGGCAGGACTGCAAAGGATCTTGCTGGTATTCTGCAGGTTAGCCAAAACGTGGCTGATTAGTTTTGTTTTTTAAATGATAAAAGCCCCTCAGTCACAGCTTTTAGGAATGAAACAAAACCACAAAGAACTTATTCTTGGCTCCTGTCTCTATACCACAACATTTTGCCCATCAAATGCTCACACAATTCTATGCTGATCGATCGCTGCATTTCACTGCTGCTGCTGCTTCTCCTGGGAAATCCCAGCCCGTTTAGAGCAGGTTTTCAAATGCAAATGTCTCTGCTGGAAATCCACCTGTTTCTGTCCATGTGAACACTGAACACTTAGAAAATCTCCCTCTTTCTTGCATGCACACGAATGCCACAAAATTCACACTGCCTATTCAATTAAATCACGAACACACACACACACACACACACAAAAACATTCTGCAAATAAGACAGAGTCCAATTAAAATCTGTAAGAGTGCAGAAAAATCAGAATTACAGCTTGAAACTCAGCTCTATGCTCACTTATTGTAACCCAACCAGAATGTAAGATCAGCCCCTGCATAGAGACCATTGCAACACAGAGGAGAGCTCGAAGTGCAGGGTTTGAGCTGAGGAATTGCAGGAACAAAGCACTGGATAGCCACTTGCACCCATGCAGAAACTGGGATGCAGATCCTCCATTCCCACCTCTCACACCTGGCTTGCAAACCAACCCACCAAAATCTTTATGTTTTTATCAAAAGTGCTGAAGTTTCCCTAAATGTAAATTTACAGCTAGTTTCTGGTTTTGATGAATGCTGAGTTAGAATATACAACACTGGATAAACTCTCAAAGACATGTACAGCATGCTAATATCTCCTACGTGTACATATTTGTAGAGCAGTTGGAGTGCATCTAGAGGAGAGCCACAAAGATGCTCAGAGGGCTGGAGCACCTCTCCTATGAAGACAGGTTGAGGAAGTTGGGCTTGTCTGCCATGGAAAAGAGGAGGCTCCAGGATGACCTCAGTGTGGCCCTCCAGTATTTAAAGGAAGTTTCTAAGCAGGAGGGGGACTGACTGATTACATGGTCTAACAGAGATAGGACTTTAAACTAAAAGAGGGGAGATGTATGTTAGATGTCAGGAAGAAATTCATCACTCACAGGGAGGTGAGGCACTGGCATTGCTGCCCAAAGTGGTGGGTACCCCATTCTTAGACGTCCCAGTGCCAGGCTGGATGGAGCCCCGAGCCCTGAACTGGAGTGGGGCCCCTAGCCCACCACAGGGGGCAGAACTAGATGATCTTCAAGGTCCCCTTCAATCTAAGCCATTCTATGATTCTATTTATTTCCATAAAAACAAGAAGTCAGAGCAGGATGCACGCACTTATCCCAGGTACAGCAAAGGCACAAACGCCTTTTGAGCAACATACTTCTCTGAGATGTGCCCACAGTGTTCCCACTTCTCCCAAACTATGCAGACTGTCTGTAGAAGCAGTCTTCCACCTCCAGATTAATATCTAGGAGCTGTTCTGCACTGCTGACAACGCAGGATAGAATCAGAACCTTCAGTGATCACAACACCAATATGGGTCCAAAGCTTCTCTTACTGCAGAGATCAAATGAGACACCTGTACTTGTGCTGGAAGCCACTCAGACGTGAAAAACTCAAAAATGTAGACATGAAAATGGGTATTTTAATAACGGGAAATAAAAGTTTGATGTAAAAAAATCAAAAGATTACAGGAAGGAGCTCAAGCCCACAGGACAGTGATTGAGTCCGAGATTCCTAATGTCCACAATGCCATCTGCATCCCAAAGCAATTGCTAGGATTAGGACAAACCACAGCTCCCCTTTCAGATAAGAATGTTCCTTTGCAATTCATCTTGGTTTAGTAAACCTGAAACTTCATAGTCTCAGCAACACTTCAGCCCTGAATCCAGGAGAAGGTAACATGGCTTTCTGCCACAGCTGTGGGGCTGTTCCTGACCCAGCACTTCCCTATCATCAAATAAGGCAGCAATCAGTCTGGGTGCAAATGGGATTTAAACCTAATGTGGTAACGTCACCCATCTGCACAAATTTATAGAACGGTGTTTTAACAAAAACTCCTGAATTATTCTATTCTGCAGGGAACTCTGATGCCACAGAATTGAAACGCACCACAGGCAGGTATTGATTTCTTAAGGGCTCAACAAGGAAATCATTAAAACATTTCATTTCAAATTTATTGCTTTCCTTCCTATTTTATAACAGCAAATCAGAAGCATTACTCTAGCTCCACAGAACTGAGGAGACTAAATTTCCCACAGACCAGCTCTTGTGTCATTCTAATATGCAAAAGCAGCATCCATAAGACAGCTACACCACTCTACTCTATAAAGCCTCCCATATTTTGAAGTCTTTAAAATGTCATTATCCATTCTCTTTAACAGGCTGCACGAAGCAGGTGAAGCTCCTTCCTGCAGCCATGGCCATAACTCAGCTGTGAGATCTCTCCCAGCTTTACTCCCCAATTGCTCCATAATGAGAACTGGGGAAATAACTCAGAGAACCACCCCACTGTGGACCAGTAAATTCTTTGTGCAGCAGTGCTCATGTGTTTTCTTAAAGTGCACTTCCCCTGTATTCAATTTGACTAAACACAGTTAATGCCTAAAGAAATAAATACAAGTCATGTTCCTGGCCTCAAGATGCTTTATAAACAGCATAGAGCGTGCAACCCATGCTCAGGAGGCATTGGCTAGCTCTGCAGAGAAACAGCTTATTTCCCATTGTATTTTCCATTTCTTTTTTAAATCTGCCATTTTTACATCTGTTTAAGAGCTCTAAATCCCCTGAATAACTGCAGGGAGAAAGTGGAAAAAGACAGCACACTGAGACAAGCACTGGGAGCTAACAGCGCTCCACCTCAAAACTGCCCCAGGCTGAATCTAGCCCAAGAGATGCTCCCCGTCAGCTTGCTGCCCTGTACACAGAGCAGGTTTGGGCACCTGGGAGGCAAATATCTCCTCCTGAATGCACACAGGGAACAGCATGGAGGAAAACAGAGCTAAGGCTGTTCCACCAGCGAGGAGACAGAAAGGGAACTCAGAGCACCTCTTCTGCCCATGCCCAGCCTGGCACACAGCCTGAGCCTGGTCCTTTGACATTAAGCTGGCTTGATTTGGGGCAAACAGCTGTTCTGCTGCACTCATATTCTTCTAAAGCAAGTCTCTGCATTCCTCCCATCTCTGCAGAAAGCCAGGCTGTGGTTACAAGGTCCCTTTTTTTCTGAGCTGTGTGAGATGCTCCTAAAAGGAACAATCCTGCTTGTCCTCCTGTGACAGCAGCAGTTACCTGGGTCGCTGCCTTCCAAGCTTTCATGATGCTTGGCACAACTCCTGTCACTTCTGTGCTAGCTTGGTCTAAAAAACACATCTAATAAATTCACAGCAGAGCATGGCAGTGGGTACACTGGCATGCAAGCAAGGTGACGACATTCCTCACGCAAGGCAGACCTTATGCTACCTGCACTGCTCAGCAGCTTGAACACTTACAGGAGCTCTCAGGTTGGTCCAACAGCAACTGCTCAGCTGAGCTGTCGGCAGCAACAAACAGACAGCAGCACTCAGAAATTCTGTAGCTGAGGGCAAAGCAAAGCAGAGAAAGATTTCGAGTCCAAAGCGTTGGGAACAGGAATGCTACAGAGGCCCTCAGTGAGCTCCTGACCAGCAAGACAGTGATGCAGCTAGACATTTAAATTGAATACAGCTTATCCAATAC